TTTAACATTCAAGTTAGGGAGTTCATACTTTTAAGATAGTATAGAATAGATATGGATAGACACACACATATATATATAGAGAGAGAGAGAGATAGATAGAAAAATAGATAAATATATAAATAGATAGACTGATAGATAAACAACAATACAGAAAGATAGACAAATATAAATTGTAGTACTCCTTAAGGGACGTTTGGCAAAGTGTATATAAGTAATGTTCAACGGACTGTATTAGTAATGCTTGCATTAGTTATGCATAGATTATTTTTTATGCATTGTTGGTTTGATGTATTAAAAATCATATGCATTGTAAAATATTTATTTACAAAAATATCCTCCATAATTATGATAAAAAAGATATAATTTTGAAATTTTTTTATAAATATTTATTATAACTATAAATTATATTATTAATTGTAAAATGAAAATTTTAAAATAAAATATCATTTTTCTTAAAGAACATGTTACATGTGATAGAAGAAAAGAAAGCATTAATTAATGTTAGGTGTAGGCCGAAGAAATTAAAGTAGAAATTATCTCTTTTAACAGCTGCCCACAGAGGGGAAAAGATATTTACCAGGAAACTCTCAAATGGCTTTACATTTAACAACTATTTTTTTAGCGTCTTACGAAAGCAACTTTACCGTTACTCCAATCAAATAAACACAACCCCCAAATTCTAATAACCTAAACCGCCTAATTTATTTGCTTCATTAATAGAAACTGAATCGAGGGAATAGTAATCTATTAAGATGAGTAAAAAAGGAAGGACCTTGAAATGAATTCAGATACGGGCTGGGAGCATAGGATAGGAGATCTATCGCCATTGGCTATACGGTTGATATTAGACTGAATATCTTCGTAGGTGATGACAGGCACGACTTTCTTGAATGCCTCTCTATCAGTACGACCATTCAGATTAAGGCGTTGCAAGTACTCAATGTTAGCATTTCGAGTGAGGATTTCATGAAGAACTCTCTTTTGGACTTCATCAACATTGGTAGTCACCTCTTCAATAAACTCAAGATTCTTCTTGTTTTCCTCAGCCATGTTTCTTTCCATGTTTAATAAGGATCTGTACTGTATCCATCACATTAGCACCTTACGGACTTCCCAGCGTGAATCAAAATTTAGTCAGCAATTAAAGTGCATATGATGTACGTATTTTTTGCATCATGTCAAGTGCTAGTAATTAGGTTCGAAATTTAATACTCCCTCTATTCTCTATCCCAATTTATATGATTTACTTTTCTTTTTAGTCTGTCTCAAAAACATTACATCCTATGTGGGATCCTACATGACAATTTTTATCCTACGTGGTGTTTTATCTATAATATGGCATACAAGACTCATGTGTCTACTTGTTCAACTTTATACAAGTTAAAGTGTCTACTTGTGCACACCCAAAGTTGGAGGGCATAAATGTGAAATAAGGTCAAGTTAAAGAGCACATTTATGTATTATGCCTTTTTTATATTTAGTAACAATTTGTCATCCAACTTTGACTTTTCATAAGTCGACACTTAAACTTGTATAAAGTTGAACAAGTAGACACGTGAGTGCTATATGGCGAGAGGTGAACCCAGAATTTGAAAATTTTGGGTGCACCAAATATGAACTCTAAGTGCTTAAAATAACAATAGTGATATAGGCTCTAGCTAGATTCAAACCCTAGTCTTGCAGGTGGCCTCTCTGCCTTGTACCAACAGCACAAGAATACTCATATACTCCTCATGGGTGCACTGTTAATTATATCGATCCTAGTTTCTGCCAGTTTCTCAAGATAGATATACATATATACACATGATTTTTTTCGAACTTAACGGGTGCACGTGTACCTCTACTGATAAAGGTGGGTCCGCCTCTATATGTTGCATAATACATGTGTATTTTATTTTATTTTTAAAATAAATTAAAAGTGTCCTTTAATTTTTATCATTTTAATTTTTTTATGTTATATTTGATTTTCTTCACTTTAAAACTTATTTTAAATACACGGCACTTAAAATTAAATTTGAAATCAAATCAAAAGGAAAAACAAAGAATGATGGTAAAAAAAAAAATTAAGAAAAAAAGTTGAAACACAAGGCAAAAATATATTTGAAAAATTACGTGTTTTGACTTAATTTAAATACAAGATAAAGAAACTAAGAAGATTTTGTTAAAAAAAAAAAATTAAATTTAAATTCTTTTAAAAATTAAAAAAATAACTACACACGTGGAGGACGCGTGTTATACAAACGCAACTAACTTACTTGGTTGAAGGTGTCACGTCAGAACACAAAAGGTGCACAAAAATATAGAAAAAATGAGTTTTGAGGAAATAGTAGAACCTTGGTTAAATTAAGGTTTGTCGTAGGGATTCTGATCAAAACTTAGAGGGTACTATGCATTATCCCCCTTTTATCTATCTAAGTCTTGATCGATTAAGTTAGCAGATCCAAATTGGCATTGACAAAACAATTATAAAATAAAGGGAAAATGCATAAGTACCCCCCAGCCTATGCCCGAAATCCCAGAGACACACCTAACCTTTACTAAGGTCCTATTACCCCCCTGAACTTATTTTATATGTAATATTCTACCCCTTTTTGGCCTACGTGGCACTATCTTGTGGGCCCAACGCACGTTGACATTTTTTTCAAGGATAGTGTCACGTAGGCCGAAAAGGGATAGAATATTATAGATAAATTAAGTTCGGGGGGGGGGGGTAATAGGACCTTAGTAAAGGTTAGGTGTGTCTCTGAGATTTCGGGCATAGGCTGAGTGGGTACTTATGCATTTTCCCTAAAATAAATATTAAAAAAAAATACTTAGAATTCAATGACAACAAACTCAGAATAACTCCACAAATAGTATTTGACAAAAATAAAGATTCCTCGACTCAAGTAAAATATTAAAAGCACGTTGAAAAAGAAATACTATCAAATATAAATGTATTAGAATTCATGACTTGATTAAATAAATTTGATGAGAAAATAATTTATGGACCTAAACCACAGAGTTCACCACTGGCCTGCAGATTTCTATAAAAATTTGAGTAATTTTTAATTTAACTAAGAAATATAAGTAAAGAGATTTACCAGGAATACCTCTGAAGCCTTTTTTTTTTTGTTTTTTTTTTGTACTTTGCTATGGATAGGTTTAAACTCTGGACAAAAGGCTTTGCTTTATTTATTTTATTTTACAACATGCATTGCTGGTGAAATATCCCCCTCTCATTGATATTCTTTTTGGAAAAGAAACAAGTATCACTTACACTATGATCGAAATTTCAGAACACACTTTAACTAAATTAAGGTCCTATTATCCTTCTTGAACTCATTTGTTTTGTAATTTTATACACCTTTTGGCTTACGTGGCACACTTCGTGACTCCACGCAATTGAGGCACGTTGGAGATTTTTGGATGTTACGTAAGCTAAAAAGGTGTACAAAATTATTTTTAAAAAATGGGTTCAGGGAGTAAAAGAATTTTAGTTTAGTTAAGGTGTATCTCTGAAATTTCGGTTATAATCTAGGGAGTAATTGTGCCTTATCCCTTTTTTTTGGTATGTTATAGCCAACAAATAGTAGTATAAACAGATATTTATTGTGTCTTATTACAAATGTCACAATCTTTCAGAAAAGTCACTATTCTTCAATGTGAAAAAGTGTCTGTTGTTAATATAATATAAATAAATATAAATAAAAAATAAAAAGACATACTAAATTGAGTGTTTTTAGTAAGGGGTATTGTAGTAATTTAACATTCAAGTTAGGGAGTTCATACTTTTAAGATAGTATAGATATAGATAGATAGACATAGAATAGATATGGATAGACACATAGATAGATAGATAGATAGATAGATAGATAGATAGATAGATAGATAGATAGATATATAAATAGATAGACAAATAGATAAACAAATATACAGAAAGATAGACAGATATAAATTGTAGTACTCCTTAAGGGTTGTTTGGTAAAGTGTATATAAGTAATGCTCAACGGAGTGTATTAATAATGCTTGCATTAGTTATGCATAGATTATTTTTTATGCATTGTTGGTTTGATGTATTAAAAATCATATGCATTGTAAAAATATTTATTTACAAAAATATCCTCCATAATTATGATAAAAAAGATATAATTTTGAAATTTTTTTATAAATATTTATTATAACTATAAATTATATTATTAATTGTAAAATGAAAATTTTAAAATAAAATATCATTTTTCTTAAAGAACATGTTACATGTGATAGAAGAAAAGAAAGCATTAATTAATGTTAGGTGTAGGCCAAAGAAATTCTCTCTTTTAACAGCTGCCCACAGAGGGGAAAATATATTTACCAAGAAACTCTCAAATGGCTTTACATTTAACAACTATTTTTTTAGCGTCTCATGGAAGTAACTTTACCGTTACTCCAATCAAATATACACAACCCCCAAATTCTAATAACCTAAACCGCCTAATTTCTTTGCTTCATTAATAGAATATTTTCTAATAACTACAACCAACTAAATTTTTAATAACCAAACCCACATTTCTTGGATGCATATTTCTCAATTATTGCATACCCAATGGTAGTTACAGATACATTTATGATGGTTATTGCAACATATTTTTATTTTCTTCATGAAATGTTTCTTAAGATTAATTCACACATTTGAATATATTTTCAAAAAAATACTATTATATATTTGTCATTTTTTTAGTTTGGTTTTATGAAACTTATATCCTTTCATTTATTTATTATTTTTCTCTGTTATTTGCTATAAATATCCACCTTTATATCTCATATCTAACTACCTATTCAATTGCTACTATTAATATATATCTATATTTATAACTCTCATACTTTTCATATTCACAACCTCTAAATATTTAATTTAAGATAACTTTTGATGTTCCTCCAATTATATTTATATAAATCATCTTCTTTGTTTCATGAGATCCTTAGGTACCCTTTTCATTCTATAGTTAAAGTAGGAATATTTGACCAAACTAAGCCATTATTTAAAGCAATTCACCAAAATATGTTTTTCTAAAATTTTACAAAACAAGTATAAACGTATTTCACAGTAACGTTTTAGGGTATATATTATTTTTTTAAAAACTGACGGCGATAGATTGATATACGTGGGCTTACAAAGGGGGTTCAAGTTGATCCCAAAGAAACATTCTGAATAAGCATACGTAGTACTAACAATAGGGACGCTATTGCAGGAATAATCGAGCATTGGTATATAATTAGGCAACAACCTAGTGATGATCCGTTGCCATGAGTTCTTGCTGCATTCAGCCTCAATGAAATCAGTCAACCCCAAGTCTGGTTTGAGGCTTTTCATCACAGCCTCTCTTACTGAAGGATCAGTAATTTTGTAGTTAATGGTTCCTGTTCGGATATCGTTACATAGTATAGACCAATGATCCTCCAAGAATCGCATGGCAAGGATGAAAGCAGATGCAAACACAGAGCCAACACGAACGACTTCTCTGTTTTGGCAGAGGCCACAAAGCATTTGGGAGTACATGCTTTGGTAAGAGTCTAGGCAGAGAATGGCTTCAATTGGACTCGTGTAGGGCGACACACGACTATTGTTGTTTCTTAAATGACTACTCTTGTAAAGACTAGTTAAAATAGTACGAGCCAATAATCCTCCGGGGGTTTTGGCTTCAGACTTTATGAACATGAAATACATTCCTTTGCCCTTTCCCAAATCTGGAAAAAATCGGCTCACCACAGACATCATAAGTCCGTAAAGCTGTGATCTCCTCCCACTCTCTTCCTCTATTGTTGGTATCAATTTTCTCTCCCCTCCCGACGTCCCAGAACTGCACACTAAAATGCAAATATTAGGAATCATGCAAGTACTACAAAACCATGATTTGATACTCCCGCTGCTCCACTTTATGTGATACTTCTTCCTTATTAGTCCGTTACAAAAAGAATGACAACTTTCCATATTCACAAATGATTTAACTTTAAACTTTCCATTTTACTCTTAAAGACATGCTTCTATAGTCACAAAAATGTCAACGACATGTCTAAAACAACAAGTTTTCATCAGATACTATCATATAAAGCGAAACTGAATCGAGGGAATAGTAATCTATTAAGATAAGTAAAAAAGGAGGGACCTTGTAAAGAATTCAGATATGGGCTGGGAGCATAGGATAGGAGATCTATCTCCATTGGCTATACGGTTGATATCAGACTGAATATCTTCGTAGGTGATGACAGGCACGACTTTCTTGAATGCCTCTCTATCAGTACGACCATTCAGATTAAGGCGTTGCAAGTACTCAATGTTAGCATGTCGAGTGAGGATTTCATCAAGAACTCTGTTTTGGACTTCATCAACATTGGTAGTCAGTCACCTCTTCAATAAACTAAAGATTCTTCTTGTTTTCCTCAGCCATGTTTCTTTCCATGTTTAATAGTGACCTGTAAATGTATCACATTAGCGCTTTACAGACTTCTCGGCGTAAACCTGCTTTAGTCTGGCTCTAATGCAGGTACCGCACATTGAATGTCAAAAAATAGAATTTGTACAGAAAAAGAGATTAAGCTGATCATAGTGATAACTGGCAATTAAAGTGCATATCTTTTGCATCATGTCAAGGGCAGCGACCTCAAGTTCTAGTAATTATGTTCGAAATTTAATATTCAATACCGATAACAATATAGATGAATCTAAGATTTGAACTTTGTATGCTAGATTCTAGTTCACGATTCTAATCGCACCTCATTTGATTTAATGTGTTCGAAATAAAATTCCTTGCTTATAGTAAAATATTTAACTCATATACAAGTTCCGAGCTAAAGCTACTTAGTCAAGATCTCTTTCTATATGTTCAAGTCTTGATAGACAGAATTAGCATATCCAAACTGGCTTTGACAACACGATTATAAAAGAACATTTTTTTTTAAAAAAAAATCAGGTAAAAAACAAGCTTATATTTAACAACAAAAAAAACAACATAGCGAGTGTAATACCACAAGTAGGATAAGAGGGTAGAGTATACACAGACCTTAACCCACCTTCTTCATATCAAATAAAGCATATCAAAGCAAATGGAAAAAGAAATAACAGACATAAAGGATTAATTCCATCACTTGATGAATAAAATTAGGAAAAAAAATAATGTACCTAAACACAGAGTTCACCACTGGTCTTCAAATAATGCTGCAAATTTCAAGTTAACAACAAAATTTAATTGAGAATTAGTAGTAATTTTTATTTTCAACTAAGATATAAGTAAAAAGATTTACCAAGAAACTCTCTTTTTAAACTGTTGGGAAAGAGGTTTTGCTTTATTTATTTATTTTGTTTTTTCCTGCAACGTGTACTACGAGGGAAACATGCACACCTCGTGTTGTCACTTGGAAAAATATCTTGTAGAAATTAGATATTTTCTTATAGATGTTCGAGATAATTAGATATTTGTAGTCCAGATTCTTAGTAGCTAGAATCATCCCTACATGACAAAAAATACACTGGCATTAGACATTTGTAATCAACTCAAAACTAAGACATTTCAAAGCATTCAAGAATTGTTCCAAAATCTTCCTTCTCTGTTCTAGCTGCCTCATCATTTAGTTGAATTTTTCGATTTTAGTTAACGATCTTGGGCTAGAAAAAGGTTTTTCGAATTATACTTTTCTTCTGCTATTCTCTCAGTCTCATCTCCCTCATTTTGTCTGTCACAAAGGTCACTCCTACCAAATTCCGAATAACTTTGCTTCTAATCCAATCTCACCTAGTAATATTCCCACACATCAATTTCAACATTTTCATTTCGACTATTATCATCTTGTCTTGAAGCCGATATATATAAAACTAACAATCATACTAACCATGTAACAACCTATCGTCCACATGTGGGGTTTGAGAGGATGGTCTTTATCTCTACCGTATGAAGGTATAGACGTTGTTTTCGACATATAGACATTCGACTCAAGCAAAGCTTATCATATGATACAATAAGAAACGTTATATGATATAATATGACACATTAAGAAGCTTTACGTAACAACCATCCAATATCCACCAACAGTTCAATTCATGTTATTCCATTTCTTGCTTCCAAGAACCCATTCCGGACACATGGGAACGAAGTAACTCAACACAACAATCAAACTATTATTTAGGTATATAATATATAGTAGTAGATCACGAACGTAACCCTGTTGATGAAAATTCTTCCTCTGCCACTGCCTGTGAAGTAAGTATTCACGGATAGTTCAATTGGTGTTGTTCCATTGCTTACTTCCAGGAGCCCATTTAGGACACACGGGACTGAAGTAGCTTGACACGACCCTCGAATTTAATAGCTCGACGAGCGGTGCAAATTTAACGCACCTTGGCGTCTTGTATTGGTTGATGGAAGCACCTAATAAGCTAGTACAGCAATAGTCCATGAGCTTGTCAAAAGTACCTGTTTCCACTATCCTGATTTCAAGAGGCCCAATGGATTTGTCAGATGTACGGCCCTGGCGGTAGACGCTGTCGAGAGATTCTTCAATGGTGAGGCAACAATCTTCAAGGACTGAAGGAGTAATGGGGGTAGAGGCGTTGGCGCTTAGCTCCCAAAACAGGACATAATGGCCTGGAATGGTAGCAGTATCCGCATAGCTGGTGTAGTCAACTACACGTGCATCGAATGGCATCAGATTGTTTGCTGCATTATTCACTGCATTTTGTAGATCAAATTCATTAGTTTTATCAAAATCGATGCTCAAGATCACATTTTCTCGGCGTATAAAGTTGAATTGAGGAGAGTTGTTCTTGTATCCAGCAACCCGAAGCACATCACCCACCCTGTATCTATACAGTCCTGAAAGGATACATCCAAGAAAATCTAAGCATTAGCAGACATGGAAAAAAAGAAGTGTCGAAGAACATTTCATTTGGCAATTGAAAATTACCAGAATACGTGGTAACAATGAGCTCGTACTCCTGGCCAATCTTGACATCAACCAAATCGACCAATTGTTGTTCGTCTTTCTCATTAAGCTGCGTAGAAATGGAGATAGAATCGATGAATTCATTGCTACTGTGAATCGGTAAGAACTCAAAATAGCCCATGGTGGGAATGAGCGTGTAAGATACTTCACTGGGCTTACAAAGGGGGTTCAGGTTGATCCCAAAGAAACATTCGGAGGAAGCATACATAGTACTAACGAGAGGGAGGCTATTGCAGTAATAATCGAGCATTGGTATGTATTGAGACATGGTTCCAGTCACGATTAAGTCCATGTACTTGGTATTAGGCCACAGCCTAGTGACGATCCCTTCCCATGAATCCTTGCTGCATTCAGCCTCGATGAAATCAGCCAACTCCGAGTCTGGTTTGAGGATTTTCATCACAGCTTCTCGAACTGAAGGATCAGTAATTTTATTCGTAATGGTTCCGGTTCGGATATCGTTACATAGTTGAGACCAGTGATCCTCCAAGAATCGCATTGCACGGATGAAGGCAGATGCAAGCACTGAGCCAACACGAACGACTTCTCTGTTTTGGCAGAGGCCACAAAGCATTTGGGAGTACATGCTTTGGTAAGAGTCTAGGCAGAGAATGGCTTCAATTGGACTCGTGTAGGGCAACACATAACTATTGTTGTTTCTGATATGACTACTCTTGTAAAGACTAGTTAAAAAAGTACGAGCTAATAATCCTCCGGGGGTTTTGGCTTCAGACTTTATGAACAAGAAATACATTCCTTTGCCCTTCTCCAAATCTGGAAAAAATTGGCTCATCACAGACAACACAAGGCCGTAAAGTTGAAGTCTCCTCCCATGCCCTTCCTCTGTTGTTGGTATCAATTTGTTCTCCCCTCCTGACGTCCCAGTACTGCACATTAATATTAGGAATCTCACAAGAACTACATATATATAAATCGAAACTAAAACGAGGGAATAGTAATCTACTAATTTGATAAGTTAAAAAGGAAGAACCTTGAAATGAATTCAGATACGGGCTGGGAGCATAGGATTGGAGATGTATCGCCATTGGCTATACGATTGATTTCGGGCTGAATATCTTCATAGGTGATAACAGGCACGAATTTCTTGAACGTCTCTCTATCAGTATGACTAAGGCGCTGCAAGTACTCAACGTTGGCATTTCGAGTGAGGATTTCATGAAGAACTCTCTTTTGGACTTCATCAACATTGGTAGTCACCTCTTCAATAAACTCAAAATTCTTCTTGTTTTCCTCAGCCATGTTTCTTTTAAGGACCTGTACTGTATCGATCACATTAGCGCCTTATGGACTTGCCAGCGTGAATCCGAATTTAGTTAGCAATTAAAGTGCATATGATGTACATATCTTTTGCATCATGTTACATTTTTATATTTAGTAACAATTTGTCATCCAACTTTGAATATTCATAAGTCAACACTTTAACTTGTATAACATGAGTTCTATATGGCGAGAGGCGAACCCATAATTTGAAAACTTTGGGTGCACCAACTATGATCTCTAAGTGCTTAAAATAGCAATAGTGATATAGGCTCTTGCTAGATTCAAACCCTAGTCTTGCAGGTGGCATCTTTGCCTTGTACCAGCAGCACAAGAACGCTGATATGTTCCTCATAGGTGCACTGTTAATTATATCGATCCTAGTTTCTGCCAGTTTTTCAAAATAGATATACATATATACAAATGATTTTTTTTTTTAACTTAACGGGAGCACGTGCACCCCCACTAATAAAGGTGGGTCCGCCTCTATATGTGGCATAATACATGTGTATTTTTAAAAATAAAAAAATAAAAAGTGTCCTTTAATTTTTTTACGTTATATTTGATTTTCTTCACTTTAAAACTTATTTTAAATACACGATATTTGAAATTAAATTTAAAATCAAATCAAAAGGAAAGACAAAGAATAAATAAATTCAATGGAAAAAATAAAAAAGAAAAAACAATGAATGATGATAAAAAAAAATGAAGAAAAAAAGTTGAAATACAAGGCAAAAATATCTTTAAAAAATTACGTGTTTTGACTTAATTTAAATACAAGATAAAGAAAATAAAAAGATTTTTTTAAAAAGAAATAAATTTAAATTCTTTTAAAAAATTTTGAAAAATTAAAAAAATAACTATACGCGTGGAGGACGCGTGTTGTACAAACGCAACTAACTTATTTGGTTGAAGGTGTCACGTCAGCACACAAAAGGTGCACAAAAATATAGAAAAAATGAGTTTGAGGGAGTAGTAGGACTCTCGTTAAATTAAGGTGTGTCATAGGGATTCTGATCAAAACTTAGAGGGTACTATGCATTATCCCCTTTTTATTTTTCCATGTCTTGATCGATTAAGTTAGCAGATCCAAACTGGTATTGAAAATACAATTATAAAAGAAATATTAAAAAAAAATACCTAGACTTCAATAACAACAAACTCCACATATAGTATCTGAAAAGAATAAAGCGTCCTCTACTCAAGTAAAATATTAAAAGAAGGTCGAAAAAAAATACTATCAGATATAAAGGTATTAGAATTCATGACTTGATTAAATATAAGTAAAGAGATTTACCAGGAATACCTCTAAAGCCTTTTTTTGTTTTTTTGTCCTTTGCTATGCATTGGTTTAAACTCTGGAGAAAAGGCTTTGCTTTATTTATATTACAACATGCACTGCTGGTGAAATATCCACCTCTCGTTGATATTTTTTTTGGAAAAGACACAAGTACCCCTTACACTATATCGAAATTTCATAAACACATTTTAACAAAACTAAAGT